GAGATGATATCTCAATGTTGTTTTAATTTGCATTTCACGGATGGCTAGTGATGTGGAGCATTTTCTTATATATTTATTCACTTCTTTAAATCATCCTCTGAGAAGTGTGTGTTCATCTCAGATTCCTGTTTCTGGACTGGGTCTTTAAATTTTGGCGCCTTAGTGTTTTTTAGTTCTTTATAAATTCTAGAGAGCAGACCTTTGTCTGAGTACTTATTTGTCATGATTTTTTCCAAATTTGTGTGTTGTCTTTTCACTTTGTTGGTAATTTCTTTTGACGTGCCAAAACTTCTCAGTAAGAGCCGGTCCCAGTTGTTAATTCTTTCAACTGTTTCCAGTGCAATTTGATTTTTGTTCATGAACTCTTTGCCTATCCCTATGTCTTCAAGAGTTCCTCCTACTTTCTCTTCCAGGTGATTTAGTGTCTCTGTTTTAATGATTAGATCTTTAATCCATTTTGACTTTAGCTTAGTGCATGGTGATAGACCTGGGTCAAGTTTTAGTTTTTGGCCCTGGGAATATTTTAATTTAATATTTTTACTGTATAATTGAGGATGCTGAGACTATTTACAGTCATTGATACTCAAGGCCAAAACCTACCCCTTGAAACTTTTATGTAGATAGCTTATTATATGGAAATGAATATCAATTTCATTTATTTATTTATTTATTTATTTATTTATTTATTTTGTTTTTTGGGTGAGTGTGAGCCTGGAGGAATGGGCAGGGAATCCCAATGTTCAGGGGCCACTGAAGGCATAGGCTGAAGTAAGCATGACTATCCTGTACCCTGCCTCTCCCATCAGGCATGGGGCACCAGGCACCGGTCCATATTTTTTTAAAATTAGTGTCAAATGAAACAGCTTGATGTAAATAAAGTAAAAGATTTAATTCCTAGGGAACTATGTTTCTTCAGACAGTGATGATAGAGAGCATTCATCTTCTCAAAGTTAGATGTGACCCACTCAGAACTCATCTCAGGAGCACAAATAGTCCCATGACAGCAACACAATATTTAGTCTGTATACTCTTTCTTAGGATTATTTTCAACAGGGTGAAACACTAAATCAGTTTTCCTCTTTATAGGTTTGATCCTGGTCCTGCCCTGTATAGATGTGTTTGTCAAAGTTGATCTCCGAACAGTTACTTGTAACATTCCACCACAAGAGGTAAGGAATTACGATGAACTACTAGACATAAAGCCTGGATCTTCTCTGTTCCATGGACAGCTGAACTTTTCAGTATGTTTTTAAATTATGTGGGAATGAATGAACCAAATCTCTCAGGACTTGCTTGCTTGGCTGAGTGGGTTTGGGATATCCCAGGCTTTGTTTGGCAACTGAGAATGAATCCAAGGGCAAATGCTAGAAGGCTTGGAATGGCCTGGTGGGAGAAAACCGAGAGAAGAGATGTAGTTGGCGTGGAAGCCAGGGTGGAGATGGCAGAGCAGAGGCTTAGAAGAGACAGAGAGATCATACACTTGGGGCAATAACTGGTTATATGACCCCTCTAGTGCCTTCCAGAAGATTTTTTAAAAGTATCTACCTGACTCAGCTTTTCTTTAGATTTTAATTTTTTGTGTGTTCATTGGGATACAACACAGATGAGTAGGTGTGGGGACAGTACAGGGCTGACCTACATTTGGATTTCAAATATATTTTTTAATTCTTGAAATGCTATAACTATCTAACCAGAGGCAATAACGAGGCAGTAGGAATGGGAGTAGCACTTACTACTCAGGTCATCCTCTCATAAAGTGAACTACAAGGAGAAGAAAATTGAGTGCACCTAGAACTGGGAGTGGCACAGTGATGAGGAAGTCCAGCCACGAAGCCACAGCGATGCCTGCTCATCAATCAGGAGCCACAGGGCACTGAATGCAGAGCTTGATCCAGAGTCGTGGTGACCTTAGTGAGCTAGTGAGGGCATCTCTGCCCTGGAGTGCATAGTTCTGGCCTCTGTTCCCGTGGTCCACTGAGAAATCTCTCATTAATCAGCCAGCCTGATGCTGCGCCTTTCTACAAATCACAATTTACTGTACTTGAATACAGAATATGGTCTCTGGTGCCATCTATGTTTTCTAAGAAAAATTGCTTCACCAAGTCAGATCAAAAGTGAAAATCAGGAAGCCTACATATCTTGTCAGGGCACTAAGTGTTCTTTGTTATGTGGAAGGTCCTAGAGTTTCAGGAGGGTGCTGCTACATTTCAAAATGGACATGCTGGGGCCGGGGAGATGGCTCAGTGGAATAAGTGCGTCCCTGTCAAGCACAAGGGCCTGAGTTCAATCTCCGGTTCAAAAAAAAAAAAAAAAAAAGGACATGCTTATTATTGCCTTCTATTTATTATAAGGGCTTCTGTCCATGGGGTATAAAACTTCTCTAAGATTAAGTTATGGTATAGAAAGGGACCAAATCTGGGCAGGAAATGTTCATCAGGCAGGGTGACATTATATTCAAGCCAGGACATAATTTTGATGATGGCTAGCATAAATTATCATTAATACTTTCTTGGGAAAGAGGGCTCGTGGGATGGTTGTCAATCAACTTTGTCCATTGCCATGCAAATAACGTGCATGTGATTTTATTCTTCCTCTTGCCCTACAGATCCTGACCAGAGACTCTGTCACCACACAGGTGGATGGTGTTGTCTATTACAGAATCTACAGCGCCGTCTCAGCAGTGGCTAATGTCAATGATGTCCACCAAGCCACATTTCTGCTGGCTCAGACCACTCTGAGAAATGTCTTAGGCACACAGACCTTGTCCCAAATCTTATCTGGGAGAGAAGAGATTGCCCATAGCATTCAGGTAAAGACATCAAGAACTAATAGCTTAGATCTTTAATTCACTCATTATAACCATCGGTGACTATCAGACATCAGCAGTTCTGAGTGTCCCCTCTTGTGTGTTTGTACACACACACACACACACACACACACACACACACATGCACACGCACACACACACACACACACACATGCCTGCTCCAGAGAGATGAGCTTCTTCATGCTTTCATTTGTCTCTTACCACAAGGTATACCTGTACTTTAACATCCGGATGGGGCACAAGCTACAGGAATTGTACTCTATCTTTTTTCTTTAGAATTTGAAATTACGATCTAGCATGGAGTATTTTATCCTTTTCTGAGGATGTTATATAATGGATTTGATTTCAGTTTTATTCCAGAACTACAGCACTTCTCAGGTGATCCTTATATTTTTAAGCTGCAGTGGGATATGAGTTAGGAGAGGACCCATTTAGGACAGCAAAGATATACCATGTTCTGAAAGGTCAAGGGTATCTAAAATGCATTAATAGTGATAATTAGTACCACTGAGCTTGCAGTGTGTGTGACCTCCTCTCTCAGATGTTTTAGTTTATAAATTGTATTGTTGTATTGTCTTCAATAAATTACATTTTCCTTCTCAGTCCCCTTTTGCTATGCTAGGACTTGGGTAACTCTTGGTCTCTCATGTGGTCCTATGTAGTAAAGAGGCCCCAAGGTCGGGTCAGTTCTGCATGCGAGTTTCCATGTAGTTTATAAGAGCCCTTCCCATCTGACAACTCAGATGCTTCCCATTGAAACCCAGGTCACTGGCTTCTTGTGAAGCCTTTTCCACCCCAGGATCCTGTGGAGATCACATAGGTAAAGGAGAATTTGCTTTTGGTGGCCCAAGATCTCTGCCCTCTCCTGCAGGAGAGCCACCTCTCTGAGCTCATCACTTTCCCACCCATTCCTGACACCTTCATTCTCCATAATTGTCTCCTATGCTTTTAAAATCAAAGACAACGTTGACCCTGGGCTAATTTTTTAAAATATGAACTAAAATACATCTTATTAAAAATATGTCTCTACCATTTTTTTAGTCAAGAAACAGCAGCTAAAGAAAGACAGATAAGTGCTTGCTGATAATAGAATCATTACTAAGCAATAGTGGATGTGTTGTGTGTCTTTCTCTAAACCTCATGAAAACCCTGACAGGAAACCTTTCATAGACGAGAAAACTGAGAATCAGAGGGGTCAAGAAACTGGCTCAGTGATTCACAGTTGCAGCTACCACAGCCAGGATAAAAACCGGGTCCGTCTGAGAAGCCATGCACTGCTGCCTGCTTGGGCTCAGTGACAAGCGAGCCTGCAGCGGCGTTTGCTCAGGTCCCGCTGGCTTTCACGCATTTCCTGAGGGTGGTTGTGGGGTGGAGCCTTCCGCCTATAAAAGATCTACCAGAATTTGATCCACAAGTTTGAGTAGGGTTATCATCCCAAAATAGAAGCAGAAACTTTTAGCTTACCATTGTTTTCAATTAATATCTTACGCTTTCTAAAAATTTGTAAATAGACTTTGCTCGATGATGCCACGGAGCTGTGGGGGATCCAGGTGGCCCGAGTGGAAATCAAAGATGTGCGGATTCCCGTGCAGTTGCAAAGATCTATGGCTGCTGAGGCGGAAGCCACCAGGGAAGCCAGAGCCAGGGTAAGGACGGCTGTGCACGCGAGGGAGAGCTGCCTGGGGCTGGGCGGACAGGGCAGAGCCCGAATGGAGCAAGAGGGTCTCTCAATTGCAACTGTAAGAAAAGAATTTCTTTTTCCTTGAATTGAAAGGTAACAAACAGCATAATGCACCTTGCTGAAGCTTGGTAAGAGGTCAGGAGGATGCTTGGCAAATTGTTGCAGTTAATCATGTGGGGGTGCAGCACAGGCCGGACATCAAAGTCTCCTAGGGAATTTAACAAAACAAAACACTCATTCAGCGGAAGTGGAGCCTGGTGTGGGCCCAGGTACCAGTGCCTTTATAAAGCTGCTGTTCTAATCACACCCTACTTGGTGCTTGTATTGTGAGCCTCACTCTGGATGTCTCAGTCAATTTCCTCAGTGATGGGACAAGATATTGACACCCACAATTTAAAAGAAGAGAGGTTTATTTGGCTCACAGGTTTTGGAAGATTCAGTCTAGATTCAGCTGTTTTCAAGCATGGTGAAAAGGTGTGGTGGGAGGAGAGATGTCCATGTTCCGGTGGCCAGAAGGCCAAAAGAGAGGGGAGGAGCTGGGAGGAGGTGGACCCTTCCAGGCTGCGCCCCATGCCCTGCCTCTTCCAACCGGTCCACTTCCTAGCAGCAGGTCAGCTATAGCATCCCTTGATCCAGTCACCTTCCAAAAGTCCCCCCCTGAATGCATGGGAATTTGAGGAGACATTCTAGGTCTAACCCATACACTGGATAAAATGGGAGTAATTAAATACAACACAGATTAGAATCACAAAATGTAATCCTAGCCTGGCCACCAGCGCCCTTAAAATTGTTGGATGTGTAGCTTTCGTGTCTATATAGATGGATTTCCTGGATTCCTAGACACAGAGATGAGGAGCTTTTGCGCTCTCTCTTTGGAATTTTCCTTGTGAGCAGATGAAGGGTTTCTGTGCTCTCACCCCCTATTCATGCTTGGTTTACCTACTGAGTTACAGCTGCCCCCAGGCAGGGATTTGAAGACGATACAGGAAATATCACTTTTGCGCATGAACAGTGAGCCCTGGCCAGGTCGGTCCTGGGCATTGTGAGACCTGGACAGAGCACAGAGTAGTGAAGAGTCCCGGGGGTGGGGGTGGGGTGGTGGTTATCAGGTGTCCACTTGCTTCTACTTTCATCCAAGACGCACAAGGACTAGAAACAATCCCAGGATTATAAGAATGAGACTCAGCTGCCATTGGAATGAAATAAGAATATCTCATATGATAAGCAAACACAACAAAGCAGCCAGTCACAGTCCTTGAATTGCAGACATTTCTAAAAATGATCGCAGCAGGTAGTGAGGCGCCAGAGCATTTCAGAACCTTCTCAGAATGGATGTGCAAAATGTGTATATCAAATATAGTGCTTTAGTTTGTGTTTGAGGATGAAATCCAGGGACTTCTAATTTGTAAAATACCTCTCTGTACTTTGTGTGTCCTTCTTGATTTCTGCAGTCACAATAGGATATGAAACTCTTATCCTTGCATAAAAAGTAAGCAGAGGAAAGACAAACAACAGAATTGGGGTTGGGGGGCATTAACACTGACCAAGAAAAGAAAGCCTTAGTCACAGTTGTACATTTCATTCCTTTCATTTCAGGTGCTTGCAGCAGAAGGAGAAATGAATGCATCTAAAGCCCTGAAGTCAGCCTCCATGGTCCTGTCTGAGTCCCCCATAGCCCTGCAGCTGCGCTACCTGCAGACCTTGTCCACAGTAGCCACAGAGAAGAATTCCACGATTGTGTTTCCTCTTCCGATGAATGTACTAGAAGGCATTGGTGGTATCAGCTATGATAACCACAAGAAGGTTGATGATAGAGCCTGAGGTAGCCCGCCCCTTGCTTAGAGTCTTGTCTGCTGTGGAAAAGACGGCTGTTGGAGGTGGTGAGAATTCTAGCAAGGTGCAAGCCAGGAACTCCACAGCTAGAGTGGCAGTAGTAGAGAAATTTGCGGACACTACAAAAGGAACAATAAACCACAACAAGGGCTCTATACTACTTTTATTTTTAAAACATAATCAACTTTGTAAGACTCTTAGGTAATAAATCAGTAATTTTCCTCACTTAGTAGCAGGAGCTTTCATACAGTAGAAGAGGAAATCACTGTGTGATTATCACTGATTTTATAATTAATACTTGTTCTTTAAAAAAGTACCCTAGACATTTGTAAAGCAGTGTAGCTGTCATATTTGTGCAACCCACTTGCTTTATAATTCCAAATTTACTTGCTAAATCTCCAGTAGTTTCAAAAACCCCTTTAAGGCTGCAAATGATGTCTAGTGTCTGTTAAAGAAGGAACCTTAGCCACAGACATGGTAGCAGCCCCGCAGGCACACTGCGCTCGGCTCGGAACCCCAGCCCTCCGGCTGTGCTGCACATCCTGCTGGGGCTGTGGACTAGTTCTCAGACTCCAGGCATGCTTGTCGGAGGGTGGAACAGACCTCACAAGACATAATGTTCTGGTCAATGTATTTGCTTGGAGTAGGAATCTATGTAAAAGGCTTTATTGGCTGAAACCACTGGGGGGCATCATCGGGTGGATTTCATGTTTTCACTGTGGTAGCATTAAGAGCTGCAGGTAATCAAGAGCTGTTTGCAATCCCTTGTCCCTCCTAAATAATCTGTTACAAATAAAGAAGTGATAAAAATCAAGTGTGTTTTAATGACTGATTTGTTGGTGGTTGCTTTGTTGCCAGAGTGCAATTTTTATTTGGAATCAAGTTTTGAGAAATGGTTTAGGGTTTTTTAAAGTGATTGTTTTTTAATTGTGTCCTGTTACTCGGTGCTTGGTCTTTGATGGATGCCAAGGAATGGCCCTTTTCGTAAGGCTGAGAAAGTGATTGCGGGAGATCAAATAACTTGCCCAGTTTATCTCAGCCGGTTGATGTTGGTTAGGACTTCTAAGAAGCAGGCCTGGCTTCAAAGCCTGTGTTCTTACACATTATTGGGTTTTACTAAGGGGTGCAGGAGATGTTAGGGTAGGTGGAACAGAGTGCTGCGGTTTCCCTTTGGCCTCCAATATAAAACTTAGTTTTCTGGCACCCAAGCCCCAGAGTAGCACTCAGACTACACCTGTGTATGTATAGCTGCACACTCCTCACATGCATTACACGCCTTTGCACACTCCTTCCCCCATTAAAACCCTTAACACACACACACACACACACACACACACACACACACACACACTCAGGCCCTTTTCTGCTCACATCTTTTCCCTGTCCCCTCCTCACACAATCTTGCTGACCTGCAGACATTAGCTAATATGAATACACAACAGGGATCTCACTCCACCTTTAGAGTTTTGCCTGTTTGTTTTCATGAAGTCATCCTATGATCCTTAGACAAGCTTCAGCTTATGAAACTCATGGTAGATTTTACAAACTCTGTGATTGTGATTCCATGTGCATACTTAACCCAAGGAATTGAGGACTTATATGCATAACCACAGGCCTGAGGTAGACTATTGACATGAGTCAGAGCTTGAGCCCACAAAGTCATACCACTCAGACCTTTAACCTGTGACCCTGTATCTTAAGAACAATGAATGGCACAGACTTTACACAGGCTAGGACACCTCTGGCTTGGGATCCAGCTGGAGAGGAGAGTATTTTGCTATTGTGAAAATCTTCTTAGCCCTTCCCAGACATCTACAGTTTTTCCTTTTCTGGCTGTGGTTAACAATGTACAACAAATTCCTAAATCAGTGGTCCTTACTGGAGACAAACATTATCTTACTGGAAACTCTTTTTCAAAATATACAGACAACTGCCCCAGACAAAATGAGACAAACAAAAACCAAAAGGATACACAAAAAACAAAGAAAAAACCCCACCAATATTACATTCCATGTGGATTGCAATGGGGGCAAAAGCTGTTACTATCTGTCTGAATATCAAATGCGTTAGATATAACATGGCACTGCTATTTTCCAACAACCATGGATATTCTAAAATTTAAATCCCTGTAGAATGTGAAAAAATAATTACATATTTTTACACAGAAATTTAGAAATCAACCACATACAACATTGTAGCAAGGCAATCTTATGATTTTTTTCTTGTCTCTTATTTTCTTTTATTATCTTTTTTAAAAAAAATAAACATTTACTTCAAAGAGAGTATGGCAATAATTGATATGACATTAGAAGCAGTACACATTTAGAAGACCAAAATGACAGGTATTTCAAGCATGATTTTAGTGTTACAAATTGTTATCCTCAGTGTAGTTGCTTACTTCACAGATATCAGTGTATAGAGTTAGGATGGGAATTCTACCCATTAACTGCTATTTTCAAAACCCTGATGGAGATTCTTAGAACCATTGCCTTAGCCATCTTGTTTAAATAAATGTATGGTTTTGCCCTGCCATATTTCCTAACATTTCTCCTTCCTCTCTCTTCATTGTTTAATCCTTAAATTCTTGCTTTCCATTTTACTGTGTTATACCTTTCAATTTGTATTTCTTCTTTTGAGTTCTTACACTAGGGAGACAATATGATATTTACACATGTGGGTCTCGTTTATTTCACTTATGAGTATATCTTCAAGTTGCATCCACTTTCCTGTGAAGTCTTTGAGTTTGTCTTTCTTTATAGCTGAGTAATATTCCATTGTATAAAAACACCACAACTTTTTCACTCATTCCTCAGGTGACAGGCATTTTGGTCGCTTCCAAGATTTGGCTGTCACAAATTGTGCTGCTATAAACATAGGTGCATTAGGTGCTGAAGAGATGGCTTAGTAGAATAAGTGCTTCTCTGTCAAGCACAAGGGCCTGAGTTCAATCCCCTGTTAAACACACACACACTCACACACACACACACACACACACACACACACACACACAAAGAAAGAAAAAAAAAACAAAACCAAAAAACATAGGTGCACACATATCACCATGATATGATGTTTTCAGTTCTTTTGGGAAAATTCCCAAAAGGGTGATATCTGGATTGAATGGGATTTCCAGTCCTAGTTTTTTGAGGAATCATAATGGTTGCACCAGTCTACATTCCCACAATGTAACTTTTTGCTTGTTTACAAATTTATAACTTCTATGCTAGAAAAGAACAACAACAACAACAATTTAAAAAATCCTTCTTCTCTGCACTAAATAAAAAAAAATGATATCCTTATCAATCAATTTAGGCATGAAAGGAAGACAGGCAGGCACTTCAAAGGTGAGAAGCAGTCAAGTGTGCTGGAGGGCACCTGTAATCTGAACACTTGGGAGACTGAGGCAGGAGGATCACTGTGAGTTTGAAGACAGCCTGGGGTATAAACTGAGTTCAAGCTCAGCCTGAACTACACAGTGAGACCTTGTCTCAAAAGCAAAATAAAACAAAACAAAAGCAAAGGCAAAAAGAGGTGAGAAGCAGAGGCCAAGTTATGTTCATTAAGCTTGACTGTGTGTACATGTATTTTCCTGTCTCTCCATTTGGTAGTAAGAAAAGGAGAGGGGTGAGGGTTTAGATGGATTCTGAAAATTAAACAAAACCAAGTCACTAGCAGATTGTGGTGAAAAAGATTCATTCCGATAAATATAGTTACTTGTTAATGTTGTTTTAGGTAAAATGTGAAGTTATTGAAAATCTTTTCTGATAGTTTTTGGACATTTGAGCCTTTTTTTCTTTTTGTTTCATTAGGAATTCATAATTAATTAGAATTTGGCAAGGAAAAAGGAGTCTACATTGTGCTTTGTTTAAAAATTCATTAATGCCAGATTTTCCTTAAAAGATCCTCTTTGCTTCTCCCTGACTCTAGCTCCAGTGCATACAGCTCCTGGAGCAACTTTCCAAGACTGCCTGAGAGCCAGGCTTGATCTCTTGTGCAGAAACTTCTCAACATGCAGGAAAGTTGTTTTTATTTTGGACATTTCTGTCACTGATCAGAATCTTTCTGCTACTTCACGGTAATATCTCCTCTAGTTTTGGCAATTATGAAAAAGGTTTGACATAGGTGTATTTTTCATCTACTTTGCCTTCTTTTTTCATGTTTTCTCCTTTTCTTTGTATTATCCTTCAATATCATAAGAAGATACATATCAGATGATCATTATGATGGACACGGTTTCTGTAGGGTATTCAGTCCATGTTGGCCACAAACTCCCGAGTGTTGATTCATTGTCCTGAGTGAGGCTCACAAGGTTTGCTAACTAGAGTGAGGTCTATTCACCTGGTTCCTAGGACAAAGGATTAGTCACCCAGATATGCTGTTCCCCTCAGGTACCTATTTTTGGAATGTGTCAGCTTTAAGACAATTTTTCGTGAACCTTATGAAGCATACACATTGTCCTGGATTTCTGTACTATATCACTTGCTAGGGAAGGCACCAAGATCTTTTGACTATGTATTGTGAGGATCAGCACATATTCACTACCAGAAGTGGGGTGGTAGGGGGAGTGAGCACATGTCCCAGTCCTGGAGCCTGAACATGCTCATGACTCCAGAACCAGAATGATTTTAAATCATTCAGTTCATTGACTGACGCCCACTGCAGAATACAGAAATTCTGTGATTTTAGTGTAGATAAAAATTACAGAAAACACCACAATAACTAGGCTGTTTGAACATACACTTATATGAGCTTTATTTATATTAAACATGTGATATACACTGAAGAAAAACCATGTAGTTATGAAATAAGTGGCAGCAACAGTTCTTATAGGCATGGATTTAGGACCAAATGACCCCACGTTATTTGCTTTAATTAGGTTACCAAGAATAAACTTGATGACCCAGAAAATATTCAGCTACTTAGCAAACATATGAAGTAAACTAGAACCTGTTTGTTTTTGAAGAATTTCCATGAGAAATTAGCACAAACTATTAGTTCTGAAAATAATTTCACTACCCATAGATGTGTTGCTCAGTGTTTAGACCAGCATATAAAGTTACTAAGTGGAGCACACTTGAGGAGGAAGGAAGCTTTTAATGTAATTATAAAATACACGGCTCTATGTCCAGGACAAGGTTGTCTTTAATACACAAATGGGATTTAAAAGTATCTTGCCAAAAACTTGGATTCCACATGTCACAGAGAAAGACTGCTTTGTACTACTTCTGTAATATGCTTTTTTTTGGGCCTTACATGAATGGCCTTTTGTTCTTACCAGGGACTATCATTCTATATTTTAATTACTTTTATTATAATTCTCTTTATTTTTAATCGTCAAAATTTTACATAATTTTTTTTCTCTCTTTAAGGTATCTGACGGCTGTCATTTGAGAGGATGAATAAAACACTGGAGAACACAAAAATCCCTAGCACACATTTGCCTCCAGTGTGTCAGTGGTCATGTGATCAGTGAGTGCACCCTCCAGCCGAGAGGACAGGAACATTGTGGGCTTCATCATTGTAATTTTAAAACATTAATGCTGTTGACATGATAACAATTTAATTTTTTGGCTTCTGGTTTCATTGCAAAGCATTCAGTCATTCTAAAGATAATCTTTGGCCTTTTATTTTCACATGATGAAATTCTTAAAGAGGGTGCTACATTTTAAATGTCAAGTTTGAACCTCTTCTGAGAGAAAAATCAAGGTACACATTATTGTTCAATATGATGCTTTTGAGTCTTGGCAGAAAGTTTTTCTTTTACCCCAGAGCTTTAACATTTTATGCAGAAGGGATTTATACACAAATGTATGTGGACATCTTAGCTTCCACAGGAATGAGAATGCTAGCTATATAGAGCAAGTGGGGAAAAGACAATACAGGGATTACTTAGCTAATACAATGTATTTCCCCTGTGTGGGTTCCTGGTCAGTTCCATCAATTGGAATGAGGGAAAGGAGAACAGAAAGAATAGAAAGAAAGGAGAAATATATATGTATATATAATGTTATATTATATATATAATATTATATATTGTATATATGATTTCTATTGGTTTATTGAAAAGAACACTTAATGTTTAATTTCTCTGAATCAATTTTACATGCCTATATCTGGTAATCTGAACAATTGCTTTGAAGATAAAAATACAGTACAACAGTACAACAACCACTGTTCATTTCCTGTCATCTTGTTTTGAAATTTGGTATCATTTTAAATGCTTTTTTATTTTTTTATTTTCTTTTAAAATGATTTCATTTTGAATAAATAAACCATCAAGTAGATGGTTGGAAATATTTTGTATTTCATCTGTGATTAGAGTGACTTATAACAGACAAGGCTTTTGTAGAGGAAGAGAGTAGATTGTATTATTTGTGCTCTGGAGAGATTTTTAAATTGTGTTTCACAGATATGCATCATGTATTCTTGGTCCAGAGGAGAACCTGATGTAAATCCTGACATGTCAGTCTCGAGAAAGAGCCTCAGGTAACTATCAGCTCACTGAGGACAGGTAAAGTAGCTGGCTTTCTACAGAGTTTCTCAGAATGACTAATCAATGTTAGGTGAGCCCTCAATAAATGTCAACTAAGGAAATGAATATGAATAAATGAGGCCATCATTACACTATTTATGTATTTTAATACTTTATGGTTCACATTCTTACAAGATATAAATATGAATGGTAATGATTTTTTTCATTTTATGGTTTTACTATTTAATATCAACAAGATCTTGTTTAGGGCCAAGAGGTACTGAGTAACTAAGGAGCTATTGCTGCTTACATCCTGTTCTCTAGGGTAAGTTATTTTATGTATTTGTTCTGGTAATACAAGAACAGCACTAAAAACAAAACTTTGAAACTAAGGATCTATTTTATTTCACAAAAAAATCTTATCTCATTTTTCCTACAGAGAAAGGTTTTAATGTATGGGAAATCATTCATTTACTAAATAGATTTTTTTTTAAAAATGAAGCAAAAATCCAAATAATTTTTACTTAGAAGAGCATTATCTATTTCTCACAGACCCTCTCTTTTTCCAAGAGGATAAAGGAAAGAAGAATAGAAAGCAGATAAAGAGAAGAGATGGACAGAGGTGGATAAATTTCTTTTGATTAGAAAAGGATATACTTGTTTTATATTTAATAAGCTCTCCAATTTATAGATTATAACCACATTAGAACAACAAATTGTGGAATGAAATTTAGTGTAAAGCTATCCTGATTGGAAGGTTCAAAACAGACTGGCCATAATGATGTTTTTCTGATTACTGTATTCACTGACAGAGACCGGAAGACAGCCAGACTATGAATTGCTTAACTACTAGCATATCAGAAAGTTGATTAAGGATCTTTGTTCTAAAGTTTCACACATTAAACTCAGTGTTCAATAGTAAAAAGCCCATATTTAATCTGAAGCTGCTTAATTCATGTTAATTCCCATGCAAATTATGAGGTAGCCAAAAAAGTAGCTAAGCATGCCAGAAGACAAAGCAAAAGAAAAGGGATAATTAAGAAAATACTATGACTTATATTGATGAATGAGCTCCAGGGCTATGCAGTATTTTCTGTTTATGTAACTTCTTGGGGGAACTCTCTGAGATGTTGGTGATACTTGCAGACTGCCCAACTGAAGATCCTACAGCCTACTTTATTCATTAGAAGACTTTGAATATGAAAGGCCTGAAAGACAGAGATGCAAGGATTAGGCATGTTTCCCTTGTGCTCCTGTACTAGGAGAGCTTCCTTCCCTCAATCAAGAGTTGGCTGGTGTGTGCAGATGCTCAGGGTAACATGCCTGCTCACTTGAGGAGGCATCTTCCCTCCAGAGATCTCTTTTCCACTAGGACGTCCAATTAGTAAGAGACTCCTGGGAAGGGGAAGAAATTCCAGGCAGCATCTCAAGGCCTCATCTTTGGAAATCACTTTTTTTCTCCCAAACTTGATTTTGCTTTAAATACATTTGGCAGCTTTTGGAAGACTAGCCACACCACTACTGAAGTTTTTACTTCTCCACCACAATTCCTACCATGTGATTAAAAAAAAAAAAAAAAAAAGAGTTGTGCAGATAGGCAATGGGAGGCTTGCTAAGGAAGCTCATTCCACTTGCTTGGTTTTATATGGTGGATGATTAGCAGTGCTAACAAATTATATTCAGAGAGTAAGAGGGAGCACGTAGCCCCAACTCACTGAACTGGGATGCCAAAGAATGATGCTTTTTGGTCAAATGAAGTAAGAATCTGATCAGTAGGTGAGCCACCTGCAAGACCAATTTCTTGGATGACACTGCAGGGATTTCTACTGTTTTGATCAGATATAATTAGAAAGCTAATAAAATATCCTACAACCAATTTAAGTTCTGGATGTTTTTGTCCTGCTGTGTAGCTCTGAGGGCAACTTCATCACCTGTCAAAATGTTCTTTCAGTCTACAAAGTATGTGTACAAGTCATACTGATTATACTCTCTCTATTAATAAATAGCACTTTCTCCCTTCACCATCTGTAAAGCTGTTTCTCATTATCATTTGTGGGTTCAATACTGCAAATATCTAGGCTCAGTTCTTACAGAACATTGTCTTGTAGTGAATCTGACTCTATGTTGTTTATCATAAAAAGGTCACCTCTTCACTGATTTCCCACAAGTGTTGAGCACCAATAAGATACATTGCTATGCAAGAGTTCGACTCATAAAAAATTCTTTCCTAAAATTAACATATTCTTTGGTTTAATTTAAAATTAAATAGCAAATGAAGCAAGGAGGATTTGAGGAGGATGAAAAGCAATTCAAATCCAAGCCAATGAGTTCATTTCTATCTTTCTTTCTACTCTTTTCCAAATAGTGGAAAAGGTTATTTGTGGTTTCAGTTAGCCCTGGTCATAATTCTATGCTGTCTTCACCTATTGGAAAACTTGTCATAATAAACAATGAATAAACAGTGCATGTTTGTCAGTCTTCCAGACTACCAACTAAAAACTTTCTAGTGATTATGGATTATACAATGAATAAACAGTGTGAGAACTGTACCTTCAAAGTTCACACCAACATAACAATGGACTCCTCTCAAGCTCCAGTGAGAGTGTTAGCACCTTTGATGAGGTTTACCTCCACTGTCTAGAGAACATGTGTAAAATAAGTGTGCTTCTATCCATCCATGGCTCTGCCTGTGTAGGTCTGAGTATACTGCTGCTGTCCCATGGAGAAAAGAAAAGCTGTGGCCTGAATTTGTCCTTTGATATATAGAGAGTAGACAAAACTCCATCAAAGTGTATTAGTCCAGTCAGATTCTCTGAGCAGCTCCATCACAGAAACCCCCAATTTTCTGCTGTCAGTCAGAAGCATTTGGGGTTCTATTTTAGTCTTTCTGAGGCACTTGAGAAGAAGGCTGAATTTGACGTGTGGGCATCACACCTCTGAGCTGTCGCTGCAGTGGATCTGTGAGGACACCGTGGGCTTCATGTGGCCTGAGCCCTTTGGGGTGTCCTTCCCACGGGTGCTTTTCTTGTTCTTACACATCACTGCTGCAATGACAGTGAGGCAGATGGTGAGCAAGCCCACTGCAATGCCTCCCCCAACAGTGACCAGGCTGAGCTCAGAGGTGGGGCTGCTGAGCTCACGGGGCAGGACACCATCAGGAGGAACTCTCCCTTGAGGGACCTGCCTCCTGCTTGTGCGGTCCAGTGCAATGTGCTGGATGTTTGTTCCTCGGTTGTTTTCAGCACCAATTTCCCAGGCCAGTGGGGGCATGCTCCTGATCTCCCTCTTCCTTCTGCTCTTGGGCATCTCCTGGGGTTTCCCGTGCTGTACCAGAGCATGGTGCTGGTATTCCACGCTTCTTTTGCCAATGCCTCGATTGGTGTTGTCTTTTGATCTTACTGTATAAATGGTGTGTATATACCATTCCCGGCCTAGAGCAACCTAGAAAACACAATCCTATTTGTTAGGAAATTAAGGTCTATGTTAGCCTCATTCAGGACTATGTATGAGAGAAAATCAAGACAGAGATAATGAAAACTGATTACTTCGTCTGCAGAATTAATTTACTCAATATTTTCAGTGTGCAGTGTGCAGTGTGCAAGGCTTCTTGTAAAGCACCCAATAATACGTTTCATAGAACTCTTAAGGGGATATGTACTGGTGAATATTTGGTAATTGCAGTCAGAGAATGTGAGTGCTCTAAAAAAATGTTTGGATGTGACACAGTCTAGTGTATTCATTTAAAAACGGGTGAGTAGGATTCCACAGCGGCTCAGCGCCTTGCTCGGGCTCACTCACCAGGTTAGTGGCAGAGACGGGATTAAAGCTCCAAAGCTGGGGAGATGGCTCAGTGGAATAAGCGCTTCCTTGGCAAGCACAAGGGCCTGAGTTCAATCGCCGGTTTCGCAAAAAAAAAAAAAAAAAAAAAAAGCCTTCTGCACTGCAGGACTCTGCTTCCCTATGTGTTTCTCTTATTCATATGAAAGGTCATGGTGAGGGACTGAGTTTTCAAGATTTTTCAGGGCCTTAGAAAAAGATGGGTTTTTCTGACCACTGTGAAGTCTTTGTTGTTTAGAGAAGTCAGATGCTTAAGAATTCATGGTAAAAGTGAAAAATATCACATTTAAATTTTTTGTTTGAGAAGATATAGAATAGCAAGTGTGTTTTCTTAAGATGCCTTTCTTAGGATGATGATAAGAACAACACATTATCTTTGCCTGTGTAAAATCCTAATTTTCCATAAGTATCTTTCTCTTTTGTATTTAATACAGGGTCTACAGGGTCTTACTACATAGATCAGACTCACAGTAATTTTCCTGTTTTCAGCCTCCCAAGTGCTGGGATTATAGGTGCACACCACAATGCCCATTCTCAGTCGATGTCTCAGCACGCTCTGGGAGTAGGGCCGGTACGGTAGACTGGGGATCAAACCCCAGCTTCTGTGCTCTGTCTAAGCAGGTGCTTTAGTCTGCTGAGCTATGTGGCTGGCCCTTTTATAAATGTCTTTGAAGGATTCATAATGTCTAAGTGTCTTGAATTTTTCTATTCAGTAGCACACCCCATGTATACCTTTACTGCCTGTCTCTGAAGCAGGATTTTCTACCTGGATTTATGCAATCTTAGGGAGAGTTGATTTTGTATGAAGTGTACAACTGCTGTTTTAACCTCGCCAGTTTATACAAACTACACTAAAAGATGGTCACAGAAAATCTCCAGGAAAGAAATTTGGAATAAGAAGAGCAAATTATTCAGCTATCATATTTATCTGAGCTGAATAAGAGCTTCCATTATATATGATCTTAAAATAATCATCAACAAAAAATGATAGCTAACATTTATGGAATGTATTATTAAATGTTCCCATTTTCCATATGTGATGGTACTATAATTATTTACATATGCAACATCTGAGACATAAATGCTAGGTACCTCGTATGTTGCTCCACAGTAATTACAAGAGAGCTTGTTTGGGGCCCACCTGAAAGAGGGGAGTTGAGTCCACTTGAAATCCATCAGATCCAGGCTGATTCACTAGGAGAACAGCTTCTGGGTCATCTGCTGCCAGTTTGGCATTGAAGAGAACATTTCCAAAGCCAGTAGCTTGGGTCTCGGGCTGAGCCTTATCCTTTAAGCGATAAGGAAAATGGTGATCGCTATAGATTATGCCACTCTTCCAAGGGCAGAATGTTTTGTTGTTAGTTTTGTGCAAGTAAAAATGATCACAAAATTTCAGTGTGCGATGCTTTAATTTAAAATGATGATACAAAAAATTTTTAAAAATAAGTAAAATGATGATACAGTTTTAAGACATAAGAAGAAAGGGTTGAGTACATCAGTTTACTGTTTAGGTCAGAGCACTCACCACAATTTTAAATCTGTACAGGAGTGAGGGGGAGTCAGCCAGGCAGCCGTACTCTGCATTGGTCGGGCTGTACTTGGGAACGTAGCCGTCTGCTCCAGTGCAAAGGAACACCTTCTCGATGCTGCAGTAGAAGGAGTCACCGAGATTCTGGACGGGGTCTACCATGACACGACCGTAAATTGTGTCACCTAAAGCAGATGTGGAAATGTTGTTTCTGTTACCTGACAGTTACAGTCTTTTCCTTGCTCTGTAATCTGTCATCAAATGTGGAAGGGCTTTTTGTATTAACTGCAGGACCTGGTTGACTCCTTAGGTCACAGCTAAAGCCTTTTTGCATATTGACAGCAAGACTGAAGAATTACGGAATCACTCATGCTCAGACATTGGTGGGCATAAGCCCAAGGTCTCGCCTATAATTTGACATTCATAATATCCCTTGTGGTTAAAACATGGTGTCTATAAGCTAATTTGTTGGTGGGCTATAAACTAATACAATGTAGAGTAACATTTAGAAAATATCAATGAAAGCTTAATTAGCAGCCAGGCATGGTGGCACATGCCTATAATTCCAGCACTTGGAAGGCTGAGGCAGGAGGAAATTGCAGCAAATTTGAGACCAGGCTGGACTACACAGTAAGTTCAAGGCTGACCTGAAGCATATAATGATACTCTATTGTAAAAACAAAAAAGCCTAATTGTTCACTTACTTTTAAAAGAAGGTTTTAATAACTCCCCCTGGTATTGGAGCAGGTGTTTCATTGGTATTACTGAACACCTTGGGTATGTTAGGTAAAATATCTAGGTGCTAGGTGCTGAGTATATGCCCAGAGAAAAATAGGCATGATCTTTGCCTGTGGGGTATTTACAGTCTCATGTAGCTGTGGCATTTTAGTTCATGGAAATTGAAAAGCAAGCCAAAAATTCATGGGAGAAACCCAGATGGGCCTCAGAAGTCTGTTAGTAAAAGAGATACAAGCTGGCTTCCCCAGAATAACAAAATAAAGAAACAAAACAAAAACACATCCAATAGCATACATGCAATTTCAGTGACAGAGCCACAGGAAAGGCTACACGTTGCTCCCTCACATACAACCACAAAGATGTAGAAAGCAACACGGATGTGCAGAACCAAGTGAACAGCGCGCTCATCTGTGAAGTGATACCTTCGGCAAAAGCAACATCACTTTCTTGCCCGAATCCCATGGATCCATCAGACAGCCAGAGGCTCTTCTTGGACAGTAGATACATGTGGGTATTCAAGCTAAACTCAGCTGCCACAGGATCGCTGACCTAAAACCAAGGGTAAAGTCCTTTTACAGTGGTTGATGGCTCTGATGGTACATGAGCATGCACCAGATTGCACTGATACACACAGTGTTCACTGCACACCGACACAGAGATCATTAAAAACACTGCACTGTGAGTTTTCTGTCCGACCATGCCAACTTAGTGAGCTCTCAGGGTGATTGTGTTTTTCTAGGGAAGGCAAAATTAATAGTTAAGTCAGTTTTTTGAATGGAACTAATGAGCAGTGTTTGAATTCCTTTCTACTAGTTTCTGTGGCATACTAAAGACTTATAAATACCATGGTTAGTGAAAGCAGTATTTAGTATAATTTCTTGTAGAAGGAGCTAGCATGTCTGTTTTAATACATCATGGCAATGAAGTATTTCAAGGTGGTTTGAACTATAGGCTTTTCATTACCCTTGAAGATTCAGAACAAGACAAAGAAGTGCAGGAGAATGCTGGGGAAAACCCTCACCTCCCTAAAGGAGAAAACTGTAGGAAGCAACAAGATGCAATCAGATAAGAGAGCTTACAGTATGGGTTTTGTGCCCTGAATTATCACGGATCAGAGACAATTCTTTCCTTCTTCCCTTACTTCCTCTCTAATTTCCTTTTTTGCCCAGTACACAAGAACTGAAGTCCTTCATGTGTGGAAAACATTTCCTGCTTCCACTAAGCCCTGACTTTCACAAAGTAGGATTCTGTAGGTCATGGATCGTAATTCTGTGAGACGCACCTGTTGGAATCGAATATCCAGGTCAAAGGTGACAGGCTCTCTTGGGCTGCAGGTGACAGGCAGACGGTACTCCTGACTGGAAGACGTGGTACATGGCACCAGCTTTACAGTGTAAGTCCCTGAGTAATCTCGTACCTTTGAGGAGGAGGGAAAGCATTCATGACTTTCACTTAAGAATCTCCGGTGCCATTAGAAGGCAGCAAGACAGGAAAGCTGAGTATGTCTCATCACTTACTGCAAAGTCGGACACAAAGCTCCACTGCTGCACAGGCTGGTTGTATGTCGGTTCACTCCTTACGAGACGGAGGGAAAAAGTCAGGCCAGGATGATCAGCTGACACCACCACAGAGCTTGTGAAGGAGGCTAGAAAAGTGGCAATTATGAGGATGTGGTGGTGGAAGCAATAGAACACATTACCACTTAGAGTTTGCAAAATACTTTATGACATGTTCTTTGGTTTTATGTGTTTGCAAAGTTAACAAGGTTGGTATAATTATTCTTGCTTGGCAGGTGAGGAAACTGGGATGAGGGTCAAATGTGGGGACTGCACAGAGAGGACTAGTAGTTCAGGGACTTTTCTGTCCTGTAACTCTTTCAAAGGTAATTGGGCAGAAGTGCTTGACCCGCTCAGGGCCACTTTCCAGGGTGCCTGAGCAGGGCAACAGCGGCAGAAGTGAATGCATTTATTGTGTATCAGAGCAATGAATTGAACTTAAAATAGTTTATTCGTATCCGCACAGCTGGGCCAACCCATTTTCTGAATGAAATATAATTTTAATTAGATTTCCTGCAATTGAAGTTAAACAAAGATTTAGTTTATTAAAAAGGTGGATGTGCAGAAGGAACTGGGAAGACCAGGAAATCCTTGTTTTCCAGAATTGTCAGTTACAATAAATGATTCCTTTGGAGTCTGCATTTCCTGTAGTTCAATTTCATAAAAATACAACAGACTCTTTTTCTCTTCTTGGCTATTCAGCTCTATTCTCTCCTTACTTAGAGTTCACGCCTGGTAAGAGGAAGGATACAGAAAGAGCCAATGAGCTACTGTCCCTTTCTAATCTGAGAGAAGTTGGCACTTCAGTAAGAGGTACAGACCGCTTTATTAAGATAGAAACTCAGGTAAAAAGCACTGTAATGAGATTTTCTGTACAAAACAAACCAACAGGCATGAAACTTTATTGGCTACTTTTAAATTTTTTAATATTCTAAGCACAGCACAGTGAGTAAAACTGCCTAGCCGGGCCTTGTTAAAGACAGCCAGCTAACATGAATGAAATTTCAATCTAAAGTCAAGTGCCACTTCCGAGTCTACTATAAAAGTTCTTCACAGAACATAGAAAAGATCTATGAACAGAGAAATGCTTGCTAAATTAATCACTTGATATTCATTTTTTTTGTACAATAGAAGCAAAACAGAGAAAAGAATTATTACTCTGCTCTGTCGACTTACATGAACTCAGTAATTTCCTTTTACACACCCTCAGTGATTTTTGTATTTTCTCTAAAAGTAATTTGGTGGGTGATGAGTGACGATAATTACTGAGCCCTCAAGGAGATAACTGTACATATAAAATTCACTTGACATGAAGGGCTTCAAAGCTAACAGAGAAGCCTGTGGAAACGTGTGTACGGGTGGAAATGCGGCACGCTTGTCCTGTGAGGGTTGCTTGTGCACGGGCAGGGGGCTCACCGGGGTGGGACAGCACAAACAACCCGTGGAACTGGGCCTCGGTCTTGAAGTGCACGGCCAGGCGCCCCTCCTCCCCGATGCGCATGCTGGTGGGGTAGAGAGAACCTACAAGGGGACAGCACACAGGGCTGGTGATGGAGAGTGTCAGGATACTCTTCAAAACTTAGTGCAGCTCTATTTCATCTTCAGCATTCTGGGCAAATGATGTTAGAAAAACCAAGTGATAAAAGTCACACAAGCTTTTTGTTTTCTTTTTTTTTTTTTTAGAAACAATCTTTTATTTATTTATTTATTTATTTGAGAGAGAGAGAGAGAGAGAGAGAGAGAGAGAGAGGCCAGCTCAGCCCACCAGGGGGCAGGGCTGGCTGGCACGTGGTGCTGGGGGATTGAACCGCGGTCCCTGATGCTTTTGCTAAGCTTGTTCTAAGTAGGTGCTTTAGACCACTGAGCCATCTCTCCAGCCCCTTGTTTTCTTTTTTAAGGAAAAAAAATGTCTAAAAGGAAGGCAAAATGAGTTAGGTCACTGTGAAATGCACAGATTACTTGCAATAGGCTTTTTTTTTTTTTCCCTTTAGTCTACAAGTATGAAGCTATGAATTGAGAGACATACAAAGGGCATGGTCAAAACCATAGAGATCTGGCCATGAAAGTGGAATTGGGCCTGCATTTTCCAGAATGAATGTAAACTTTATTGGCTTAAAAAAACAAAACAAAACAAAAAACTAATGGTTTCCCAAGAAATTCAATAGTTAGGCAAAATTTAGCTCTAGATATAAGCAGGAAACCACAGGTCCTAATGCAAGTGTTCAGAACCACAGAAAGGCTCCTCATTCAGATTCATTTAAATAGACATTTTCTAAGGTGAGACGCATAGTTAAAACACCTGACATAGTCTGGAATGATTGTTTAGGGTGAGCACATTACTTGTTACATGGCCCTAAGATAATTTAAACTTCAGTAGGCTTATATTTGAGAGGTGATATCAATCCATTTTCTTTCTGATTAATAAATGTACTGTTGGCACAATGCTGTAGGCATTCATGGAAACAGAATAGTAATACAAGGCTAAAAAGAAAAGCACTAATTCTACTAATGGATTAATTAGCTCTTAACTCTAAATTTTGATTCTGACATGGAGACTGAAGCAAAATTTTGCAGAGTTTAGGTTCCATGGTTGGTAGAATTCAATGACCAGTGCATTCCCATATTTGGCTCAAGTATCACAGTATAATGGAATTTTAAACAGAAAAGAGATATTGGAAGTTAGCCTATTATTCAAAATAAAGTAAGCACCAAGAATAGAATAAGAAAATATATCGCAAGTTTCTTCTACAGCTTTTAGCTACATTAATGAAACTTCTCTTCAGTAAGGCAAATAGGTAAGAAAGCCTTTTTCAACCCACCTTGGAGCTCAGCCTCTGAGGGGCTGCCAATCCCGTCGTCCCACAGGATGGCAGTGTCGTATACAAAAGTCAAACGAAGCTCTGACTTCAGATCAAAATGCTGCCAGCCTCCTACCCCCACTGGGGAATGGAACACGTAGGAAACATACAGAGGAACACGCAGCGTCACATAGGACTGCACTAGGTTTAGGACCTAGAACAACAAAACCACACCGATCAGCACTGTTCGCTGTTGACTCAACGAGCCCGCATCTGCGGCTCCATTTGCGCCTCTCACTTACCTGAAGAGTTCGTGTAACCAGCGAGGAGAGGGAAATGATGCTACTTTTGTAACACCACTTAATTTTGGACCAATTAAATTGATACTCACTACTTTCCCTTGCAGAAAAGGATATGCAGCAGCACTTCTTAAGGTAGATGTTATTTTGAGTGTATTCTACTTCCAAAGTTCTATTTACTTGAGGACAGTTTTATTGAGCTATAGTCATGAACCACAGAATTTACCTATTGAAAATGGACAATTTGATGTTTAGCATATTCAAAGAGTTGTGCATCTGTCACTACCTTTAGAACCTTTTGGTCACTTCCGAAAGGAGCCCTGTCTCCATTAGCAGTTACCTACTGTCCCTCCAGCCCTCCTCCCTGCAGTCCTTGGCAACTACTAGTTTATTTATTTATTTATCGTATTTTTAATAATTGTATATTTAGGGTCTACAGGGTCTTACTACACAGACCAGACTCGTAGTGATCCTCCAGTTTTCAGCCTCCCAAGTGCTGGGATTACAGGTGCACGCCACCAGGGTAGTCTCAATCCTGGTCTCTATGTGCCCCAGGGGCGGGGCCAGCACAGCACACTAGGTATTGAACCCCGGCTGCTGCATCTGCCTAAGCAGGCACTTTAGTCTGCTGAGCTATTTGGTCGGCCCTACTAGTTTACTTTCTGTTTCTATGTACTTGCTCCTTTTGGACCATTTTGCTTGTTGATGGTTTGGTGCTGTTATGAAAAACTCTGTTATTACATAGAGAGACCCATGCCGGCCCCGCCCCCTGGACATGCTGAGAAGGAGATTGAGACTGGGCATGGTGGCATGTGACTGTAATCCCAGCTCTTGGGAGGCTGTAAGCAGGCGGACCACTAAGAGTCCGATCTAGTAGTGAAACTCTGAACACCCTGTAGACCCTTCCCTAAAATACATAGAGGGAGATTAGACAAGCAGTAAAGATATGGTGTCAAGAATATTTAGTAGTAACACCATATTTAAACTATTTCAAGAATAAGTAGCTCAAGTGTTTTGCTTTGAATTGTATACTTCCACCCTTCAGGTACAGAGCAGATGGATTTGGGATTAAACTAATATTTACTGATTGAGCACTGACCACACTGAAGACAATATACTAGATTTCCCACAAAAACTATTAACTATTTTCACTCCCAGTTATCTCTAATTGTTTGCTCATGGCTGTTTTGAAGTCCAGAGTCAGCTCCAAACATTTCCTTTCATGGTCATTTTGACTTTGCAGAGGAGCCAGAAGTCCTACAGTGTCAGATCCAGGGAACGAGGTAAATGAGGACACACTCTATGTTTTACAAGTGACCTTTCCATTGGATGACACTCTGCAGCAGCTACCATCAATTTCTGGTTTTTAATCACAACTCATGAAGATACCCGTAAGAGAGGAATTCCAAAATTGTTTCAGGCTGCGGCAAGAATTCTGGGGTATGTGTGCATGAAGCAAAGGGGAGTATTTGAGGAAGTCTTACTGTCATAAAGAAAATCCTCTGAGACAGAGTCTTACTATGTAGTTCAGGCTGGACTTGAACACACAGTGTAGCCCTGGCTGGCCTCTGACTCAAGGAGATCTGCCTGCCTCAGCCTCCAAGTGCTGAGTGCTAGGATTTCAGCTGTGTGCTACCACGCCTGGTCAAAATGTTTTGATGAGGTGGGTGGATGGAAAGGGAAAGGTGTAGGCAAGTTAGATCTCAAACTTTTCACAGAAATCCTTAATGTAAATGAGTGTCCCACCGAAGTTAGAATCTTGCTTTTGGTGCACTTGTTCTGTGCTCTCACATACTTCACTGCATTTCAAATAAAGCTGAGGGCAGTCCTATGGCCATCTAATAAGAACTGTCACCAAGTAATTGGCTAACTATTGCTAAAGAATAGTAGAACAAGTACAGCTAGTCTCTTATGCACAACAGGAAGTGGGTATCGCTCAGGTCACACTCCTCAGAAGTCTTAGGCAGCGGTCCGACCAGGGCTCCATCCCCATGGAGCGGATAAGCATAAGACACCTGTATTAGTGAGGAATTTCCATCGTGAGAACTCCACTCGTGCATATCACACTACCTATCAGGGAGTTAGAAGTGAACTCCTCAAGTCATAAAACTGATGACCTGAATGGCCAACGAAAACACATAAAATGAGAACCATCAAACAAATTATTTGATTTGCAGCTGTGCTGTACTAGTAGCACTTGCTGTCACTAGCTCAACCCCGACAGCAAGGAAGGTATCTTTCAGTGCAAGTCCTTTGAGGCAGTGTTTTCTAAGAGCGCTGTTATCACTGTCATTGAGAAGTTGACCCTGAAGTGCAGCGTCAATGCTCTGGCAGCGTAATGGAGAGTGACCAGGTGCATCACCCGTGTCACTGGTAAGTAATACTCATATTCATCTGTGAGAAACCACTTTTTTTTTAAAGAAAAGATTAAGAGTTAGGCACAGACTTCTAATTCAATTTTGGACTTTTGCCAATGTTCCACTTTATCCACCAAATATTACTGGGTGTATTATTTAGCAGGGGATTACTAAAATTCACTTCCTAGGAAAGAGCTAATTGGAGTAGAGCTGCCTGACTAATTCTTTGATTTCCTGTGATTCTTGTACTAAAATAGAATTTGATCATTTCAGAACATGAACTCAGCATTTCCTTATAATCCTAAGCCACATTTTCTTTCTGAATTCTTAGGACCCCTGTATAAAAAAATCTACAACCTAAACAGAAGGGCCTTGGTCATTGGGTCATCTGCTTATTAATGTCCTCCAGGCTGCAGAGTGCACAGCTGTCAGCATAATGCCTAGCGGTCACCTCGCAGGGTGTACACTGTCCCTGCAGCCCATACACAGGACATTTAAAGGTATTTGTTGATAGCAAAATAAATACATGTCAAATCTTACACTGAGACAGAATGAATGACTTCACAGGCTCTTATTAATGCTCTAAATTTCATCAATAGAAACAGATAATGCTTTAAATAATGTATTTAAAAAGACAGTATAAAATTCAAATGACCTGGGCAAGGTAACACCATCACATTTATATGACTGGGTAGCACGTGTGTGCTTGTGGGTGATGCTATCTGCTAAGGTACATAAGAAAGTCTGATAATGGGTGTGTGAGGTGGGTGGAGACGGGTGTGTGTAGAATGGGAGTTTATGTACCTTTAAAGAGCATGCCACTCATAGTATTTTGTATAGTGGGAGCTAATTTTGAAAGAATTGCCATGGATTTAATTCTTCACTTACTTTGGACATACAGCTGCAGCTACCCAGCATACACACTGTCTTCCCTCTCACTTCTCTTCACTCTCTTCCTCTCCCTCTCTTTAGTTTTGCAATGATAGAGCTAGAATCCAGGGCTTCACACGCTCTAAGCAAGTGACTTTTATTGCTTGCCCTGTATTGCATTGTTGTTATCAAATTCATAGAGAAATAAGAGAGTGCATGTATCATGACTAACATTTAAATTTCTAGACCAGTGCTATTCAACAGAAATATAACGTGAACCACACATGCAGCTTTAGATTTCTGTTTCTCTCTCTCTCTCTCTCTCTCTCTCTCTCTCTCTCTCTCTCTCTCTCTCTCTCTCTCTCTCTCTCTCTCTCTCTCTCTCTCTCACACACACACACACACACACACATACACACATACAGACACACAAAGAAGAAAGCAGGTGTAGGTATCAGAGGGGCAGGAGGAGACTCTGGGCTAAGGTCAATATAGGTCCAGAAATTCCTTAGAATAAGAGTGATTGTATGGGATAACTACAGCGACAGGACTGTAAATAATCTTAGTGCGCAGCAAGAGGATGGCTGACTGTGATGGCACGCTTCTAAGTGAAATATCACACCTCGTCAGAATCATGAATCTGAGGAATTTTCCTTGTCATGCAAAAATGCTCACATGTTAAGTCAAAAGGTGGTACGCAAAACATGAATCAAATTATGCTATTACTCCTAAAACAGTATGTATGTTAAAAAGAGATTACAAAATATGCCTGTAGGGCTAGGGATGTAGTTCTGTGGCCCAGAGCCTGCTGTGAAGTGTGAGGCCCTGAGTTCAAGTCCCAACATTAAACAAAACATTAAAAAAAAAAAGAAAGAAAGAAAAGCTTGTGTACAAGGATAGTGGGGTAATAGGAAATTTTTATTTTAATTTAAAGAAAATTTGTTTTTTAAAAATTTTTATTTATGTATTTTAGTACAGGGTCTACAGGGTCTCACTATGTAGATCAGACTTGTAGTGATTCCCTTGTTTCAGCCTCCCAAGCGCTGGGATTCCAGGCACGCACCCCTGCACCCAGCTTCAATCCCCTCTCAGCGTGCCCAGGGGGCGGGCCAGCATGGCACGCGGGGGATCTAAGCAGGCACTTTAGTGCACTGAGCTATCTGTCCAGGCCCTAAAAAAATATTATTTTGGTCCCCTAGATGTCTTCAATATTACTTTCAATTAAAAAGCAACATTATTAAAACATTATTTGGTAATTTTCACAAAATAGGAAGCCATATACTCCATGAAAGTTATACATTTTGAATTCCTCTTGCTCTTTCTTTGGAAATGACTTATAGCCTCTTCCATATAACAGAAAATTACTGCACTAAGTAAACTAATGATACAAAATTACTTTCAAAGATATTCTAAGCTCAGAATGCATGCCAGTAAACCAATTAAACTAGCAAAACGGAGGCAAAATTACTCCTCAAAGGAGCTAAGAAAAAATGTTTTACTTTCCAAAAGCTCTACCATGTCTTCTTACAAGTACATTACAATTTCATGTTTTAAATGCAACCCATAATTGGTTGTATTTCTGCAACTTATTCATGCATAGGAACAATTTTATTAGTTTCTGTTTACCTAACAAATGAGAAAGTTAAAATTTTTACCCTGCATACAAATAGTAAAAAAGGAAATGAACT